AAGGCATCAATTCTTCTATGATCTTCCTTATTCACTGTCCAGCTTTCGCATCCATATGAGGCTATTGAAAATACCATGGCTTGGGTCAGGCACACTTTAGTCCTCGAGCTGACATCTCTGCTCTTCAATACTTTAAAAGGTTCCTATGCAGCAGATTTGCCCAATGCAATACGTCTTAGACATTACCAAAACCCCTTGAGCCAACGAGTTGCTGGACCATAGTCTTGGGACACCGTGGTCAATTGACATAATATAGTCCACAAATACAATGTTCTGCATCCTACTTTGGTGAGTAGTGACTACCATCTAACGTGCAACTATTGGTCTTGCCGTTTGCAGAAGAAAGAAGACTGATGAGAACTGAAGATGCTTGCAATCAATTAGCCCCATGGACTAAATGGAACACATGACTAATGGAACCCAGAGTCTCCATTTTCTGGGTCCAGAAGAACTAGATGGTGTCTGGCTACCATTACCAACTTCTCTAAAGGGATTATATTAGAAGGTCCCTTATGAAATGGGAGAGAACATGAAACAAAACAAGATGACAAAAAGACTGGGCTTATTGGTCAGAGAGAGACCAGAGGAATTGAGACTATGGTCCTCAACCACCCTTTAGGTCTGGAACAGAACTCACTCTTGTGACCTAATTTCCATCTGAACAGTAGATAGGTATATGGGGGGACAACAGCACTAGTGAGGTAGGCTCACCATGAGATGGTCAATCATTCAAGTTCAAAAAGCCAACATTTACCTGGGGATGAGGTTCAGAGGGGATGGGAAGGAGGGTGGAATGGAAATAGGAACCACAGGGAGGAAGTGGGATGACTGTTGTTACATGGAGGGCATTGCAATCATTGAGATGAAATAAAGTGTGTGATTTGTTGGATGTAAAACTGATGGTCTGCACTGTAAACTTTCACTCAATTCACAATAAAAAGATTTGAATGGATGAGTAAATGATTAGTAACTATCTTCTAAAAGGAGTCTGGCAGTGTAGTGGTTATGAGTTGGGCTGCTATCCTCAACATCAGCAGTTTGAAACTACCAGCCATTCTGTGGGAGAAAGATGAGACTTTCTGCTCTTGTAAAGATTTGCAGCCTCAGAAATCCTATGCAGGATCACTATGAGTCAGAACAGACTCCAAGGCACACCATCACCACCATTCATCAAAATAAAACAAAACAAAAATGTGTGGTAGTGTAACCTTGGCAAAGGACTTAAACTCCTTAAACTCCTTACCTGTGATATGGTACAAATAGTACCTTTCTTAAAGGAACCCTGGTAATGTAGCAGATTAAGAGTTGGGATGCTAACTGCAAGGCCAGCAGTTTGAACCTAACAGCCACTCCTCAGGAGAAAGATGAGGCTTTCTGTAAAGATTTACAGCCTCGGAAGCCCTATATAGGGTCACTATGAATCAGAAGTGACTCAGTGGCACACAACCACCACTAGTAAGTGTGATCAGCTCAGTGGTGGGCACCTAGAAGGTGTTCTGTGAATATTGGTTATTACCTCGGATGCAATTAAGAAGGCAAGGGGAGAGTCCTCTCCATGAGAACTCTTGTTGTTAAGTGCTGTTGAGTCAGTTCCAACTCATAGCAACCCTGTATAGGGTTTCCAAGGAGTAGTGGCTGGTGGGATTGATCCACCAACCTTGCAGTTAGCAGTCCAGTGTTTATCCTACAGCCCCACACCAGAACTCCAGGATGGATTCTAGGTTCTACAAAAATGAGAACCCACTTCAGGAAAAATATCCAAACCCAAACCTGTTGTCGTTGAGTCGATTCTGATTCCCAGCAACCCTATAGGGCAGGGTAGGACTGTCCCATGGGATTTCCAAAGTGGGGATCTTTACTGAAGCAGACTGCCAGAGTGGCTGGCTGGTGGGCTGGAACTATTCACCTGTTGATTAGAAAATGAGCACTTAACCACTGCACCACCAGAGCTCCTCAGGAAAAAGTGTTGTTGTTGTTAAGTGCCATCAATCGGTTCCGACTCATAGCAACCTTGTAGCAGCTGGTGAGTTTGAACCGTCGACCTTGTGGTTCAAACTGATCTTGTGGTCCTGTGCTGTATCATACAGCGCCACACCAGAACTCCTCAGGAAAAACAGGACAAGGATAGTCCTTGAGAATTTCTGAATTTTCTGAGAAATCACGTGATTTCTCTACATCAGATTTTTGTGATGCTGTTTTCGTCTGTCCTTCTTTCTTGTACTTTGCTTAGTATTTGCTCTTTTTCTTTCTGTTTATCCTTTTCTTTAAACAAAATGAATTCTTGTAGGCTCTAGATTTTATTCTCACTTTTCTTGTTATCTTTTTCTTCTTCATATTGTTCCTTTACTCCATGACTTCTGATCTCTATTTCTCTTTCTCTACCATTTTGTCTTTCCTCTTTTACAATTGTTTAGCATAGGTGCCCTGGAAACAACGTCCATGAAACTATGCTGGTTATGACCTTGGTGCCCCTCTACTGCCCCTTTCTATAGTGTCCCACAGTTACCCCACGTGGAACCCTTCCTCTGCACCACTTAACTGTTTAAGACCTCTGGGACCTTCGCAGTCTGTTCCTTACAGATTTGTTCTTAGAGATGGACTCGATAAACTCAGACCCTCAAAAGTATAAATAACTTCTGAAGTTCAGTGCTTTACTCTTTCTAAAGGTATTAGAGAACTTCAATCAAGTACTCAGTTTTCAGCCCCCAAAATAAATCTCTAATGTTAATTTCAGGCAATAGACAGAGGATATTTTCTCTGAGGTAGGAGACCTTCTCCTACAAAAATGCTTCTTCACAAGCATTGTTCTGCTTTGATATTTTAGAAAATAAATGGAAGAAATAATTTAGATAAAGCTAGAGTTATATTTTGGAGCCCTGGTGTGGCGCTGCAGGGTAATGTACTGGACTGCAAGCTTGGTTTGAATCGCCAATCAGCTGCTCCTCAGTAACCCTATACAGGGTCGCTATGAGTTGTAACTGACTCGATGGCACTTAACAACAACAAGAGTTAGATTTAGCCATCCTCTGGTACATGGGAAAATCAGTTTGGGGCTAAATACAATTAAATTTCAAAGGGATTATGTGCAGTAGATGCAAAATTAATTTCAGGTAAATTGTTACAATCTGGATTTTTCATTCTTTCTGTATTTTATCAATTTTAATGTAATTTGCAAGGAAGATAAGCTCCGTCATACATGTTTGCAAACTTCATGAATCAATGGAACCATGGAACCTTAAGCACCTGCGTCCTGGTAGCTCAGTGGGAATCACCCAATGCCAGCCAAGCCATTCTACCTACTCTCAGCCCTCTGCCTAGGGCGTAGAAGCTTTTCAAGGGTCTGTAAAATAACTGAACCCTGGAAAATTGTATTGATTATCAAAATATGAAAAATCTACCAAATAATAAATGTAGATTTGAATATCTATAAATCCAAAGGGTCAATCTCATTACTGCTCAATTATTATGCCATTATCTACAAGGAGACTTCAGTATGAATCTTCCACATGTAAGAGAGCAAAGAGCCACTCGGGATCTTAGAACAGCCCTGAGTGTCCGAGATTTGAAAATCTGAGCCAGAGTGGGAAAACATGATACTATTTTTCTAGAAGGATCTAAGTCTCCAAGCATAAAATGGAGCTCTTGGAAACTCTGTGGTGCACAGTTGTACTCTGATACACGTGGGGTCACCATGGGTTGGGATCAACTCAATGGCAATTGTTTGTGTGTGTGTGTATGTGTAGTTTAAGTGTTGCTGTTGTTAAGTGCCATCGAGTCGTTTCTGACCCATAGCAACCCTGTATAGGGTTTCCAAGGAGCGGCTGGTGAGCTTGAACTGCTGATCTTGTGGTTCAAACTGACCTTGCAGTCCAGAGTGTTAACCTGCAGCACCACACCAGGACATTATAAATAGGAGACATTATATTCAGCGTATTCCCATCTACTTATGAAGCTGAATTAGGAGATGCTGCTGCTAGACAGGACCACCAACATAATTGGAAATAGAACAATACCAAGGAAAACAGTTTTTTTTTACCAGAACTCCTTCAAGAAAGAAACCACTATACATTATTGTGTGCCATCAAGTTGGTTCTGACTCAAAGTGACCCTGTTTAGCGTTTCTGAGGCTATATAAATCTTTATGGGAGCAGAATGTGTTATCTTCTTCCTGTAATATACATCGCTAGGAAGCAGCTTTGGGTGGGATCAGGAAGTCAAAATGCTTCTTAGGTCTATCTATCAAGCTGCAGGATTATTGTTTTACTAAGGGAGGTAGGTTGTACACGTTTGGGGACACAGCTGAACTTGCTAAGGACTAATGTCCCTATCAGTGGTCTTTCTGCCTCCCTCTAAATACATGTTGAACGAATACTTAAAGAATATCTAAAGAGGCACCAAATTACTAGCTGCCTAGGTTGTTCACCGCCTTGTAATTAATCCAGCACTGGCCAACTGGGACCCATCTTACCTTGATGTCATAGCCGATGCCATGGGCCTTGCACATCTGGAGAAAAACATAGTGGAAAACCAGAGAAAGGTTGTTATGTTTCAGCTGGGTGGTCATTACCGCATAGCGACAGGTTGCTGACAACTGGAAAAGACCATGGCCAAGTATTAGAATATTAAAAAAAAAAAAAAAAAGTACTTAAATAAACTACTAATTTTAGAATATTTGTAGATCTACAGAAAAACTGCAAAGATAATACAGAGTTCCTGTACAGCCCAGACCTAGTTTTCCCTGTTGTTAATATCTTACATCGTTGTGATACGTTTCTCATAACTAAGGGTAAGCGCTGGATTGCTAACCCCAAGGTCGGCAGTTCAAACCCACCAGGGAGAAAGGTGAGGCTTTCTGCTCCCATAAAGGTTTGCGGCCTCGGGACCCTTTGACAGTGTCAATTAGTACACTGCTGGTAAGTACACCCATACTGTACTCAGATTTCAGTCATCTTCCCTAATCGCCTTTTTCTGTTCCCGGACCCCAGATCTCATTTGGTAGCCACATCGCCTTAGCTTCATCTTGGCTGTGACAGTTTCTTAGACCTCTTTGTTTTTGATGACTTTGACAGTTTTGAAGGGTACAGGTCACATATTCAGTACAATGTCCCTAAGTTTCAGTTTGATGTTTTTCTTATGAACTGAAATGATGGGAGTATGGAGGGAAGACCACACTGGTGGGAAGCACCATTCTCAAGGTTTCATAACAAGGATTTGTTGTTGTCAAGTGCCATCAAGTCAGTTCTGATTCATAGGCGACTCTGTATAGGATTTCTGAGGAGTGACTGGTGAGTTTGAACTACTGACCTTGCTGTTCAAACTGACCTTGTGGTCTAGTACCTATTCTACAGTACCATACCAGGACTCTATTAGATGACCACTAATGGTGTTGATCTTGATCACTTGACAAAGGCAGTGTTTGCCAGCTTTCTCTACTGTTGTTATGTGCCGTGGAGTTGGTTCTGACTCATAGAAACCCTGTACAGGGCTATGGAGGCTGTAAATCTTTATGGGAGCAGAAAGCCTTATCTTTCTCCCGCAGAACAGCTGGTAGTTTCGAACTGCTGACTGTGAGATTAGCAGCCTGATTCGTAACCACTATGTGTAAAGTTACTTATTTCTCCTTATCACTTAAGGGGTGAAGAGTTATGCTTCAACTCTTCAAGATGGCATATGTTAGAATTTCTATGTTAACTGCTTTCTTTGTTTGAAAATCAAAGAAACATATATATAAACAAACAAACAACATATATATATATATATATTTTTTTTTTCTCCCCACCCCTTTGTCTGGTTGCTTGGGAGCTCTCCCAAGGATAGTAGCTATAGTAATGTCCCAAGTATTTTTATTAGACATTTCCTAAAAACAGTTAAAATGAATATAATACATACAAAATAAAGTACTGAGTCCTAGCAGTAAAGGCAAGGTATTTATAGAGCGTCATCCATGATATACAGTATTTGCTTTTGACAATCAGTGGGAGAAAAATGAGATTGTCTGCTCCCATAAAGAATCCCAGTCTTAAACACCCTAAGGAGGGAGTGCGGTTACTCCATCCAATTAGCACTGTGGTTCGAGCCCTCCAGCCGCTCCACAGAAGAAAGATGAGACTTTCTGCTCCCAAGAAGATTTTTAAATGCCTTGGAAACTCATAGGGTTGCTATGAGTTGGAACCAACACAATAGCACTTAACAACAACAACAACACCCTAAAGAGCTGTTCTACTCTGTTTATAGGGTTGCTAGGAGTAGGGATTGACTTGCTGTCAGTGGGTGTGTTTTTGACAATCAACTGTTTGTGTCTTTGGATAACTGCAAATATTAGAAGTGCCTCTAGGGCCATGGCCAACCTTCGTCTTCTTGTTGTTAGGTGCCATTGAGTCAGTTCTCACTCACAGCGACCCCATGCATAACAGAGAGAAACACTGCCCAGTCCTGCACCCCCCTTAGTATTGTTGTTATGCTTCAGCCCACTGCTGCTGACACTGTGCCAATCCATCTCATTGGGGGGTCTTCCAGAAGAGAATGTGGAAGTAGGGATTTAATTGCTGATGTCAAATGGATCTTGGCTGAAAGAAGAGAATACCAGAAAGGTGTTTACTTGTGCTTTATTGACTATTGAAAGACTTTCAACTGTGTGGATCATGACAAGCTATGGATAACTTTGCAAAGAATGGGTATTCCAGAATGCTTACTTGTGCTCATGGGGAACATGCACACAGACCAAAAAGCAGTCATTTTAACAGAACAAGGGGATACTCAATGGCTTAAAATCAGGAAAGATGTACACTAGTATTATATTCTTTCACCATATTTATACAATCTGTATGCTGAATAAATAATTCAAGAAACTGGATTATATGAACAAGAACATGGCATTAGGATTGGAAGATGACTCATTAACAATCGCAATATGCAGATGATACAACCTTGCTTTCTGAAAGCAAAGAAGACTTAAAATACTTGCTGATGAGGATCACAGACCCCAGCTTTCAGTGTGGATTACACCTCAATGTAAAGAAAACAAAAATCCTCACCACTGGACCAATAAACAACATCCATATAAATGGAGAAAAGATTTCAAGGATTTCATTTTGCTTGTATCCACTATCAGCACTCATGGAAGCGGCAGTCAAGAAACCAAATGGCGTATTGCATTAGGCAAATCTGCTGCACAAGACCTCTTTTAAGTGTTCAAGAACAAAGATGTCACTTTGAGAACTAAGATGCACTTGACCTAAGCCATGGTATTTTCAGTATCCTCATATGCATGTGAAAGTTGGATAGTGAATAAGGAAGACCACAGAAGAATTGATGCATTTGAATTATGGTGTTGAAGAATAATATTGAAAGTACCATGGACTGCCAGAAAAACAAACAAATCTTTGTTGGAAGAATACATACAAGAATGCTTCTTAGAAGTCAGGATGTCGCGATTTCGTGTCTTATACTTTGGATATATTATAAGGAGGTACCAGTCCCTGGAGAAGGATATCATGCTTGGTAAACTGGAGGGTCAGTGATGAATAGGAAGACCACCAGCAAGATGGATTGACACAGTGGCAGCAGCAATGGGTCAAGTGTACCAACAGTTGTGAGGATGGTGCAGGCCTGGGCAGGGTTTGGTTCTGTTGTTCATAGGGTCACTATGAATCCTAACTGCACCTAACAGCAACAGGTGTTGGATAACCATGCACCTGGTGTTTGACTTGTTAGTGAAGGAAAAGGAAGTGCTGCTGGTGGAATCAGAACCACCTGACACTCATCTATAGACAGATCTTGGGCTCTATTTCTGTCTCTGTGATCACATGGGAGAACTAGGGCTGACTGAGTGCCCAGTAAAGAATGAACACCTTATCCCTTCTTTCATGTCTCTCTCTCTCACACACATGTGCATACATTGTGTCTTCTTTGAGCATGTACATCCAGTACTATATCTGTTGGTCACTGGAAGAAGACTGCTCTTCATATGTTTAACAAAGCCCATGTCTATAAAGGAGTCCTGGTATGGTGCTGTGGGTTAATGTGCTGGACTGCAAAGTTGGTTTGAACTACAAGGTTGGCAGTTCAAGCTCACCAGCCACTCCTTGGAAACCCAGTACAGGATCAGTATGGATTGGAACTGACTTGACGGCATTTAACAACAACAACATATCTGTAAAAAATGTTAAACCTCACAGGCGAAGTCATCTTGTGTTGTGCACCTTCATTAGTATTGTCCCATTTGTAGCCCCACTGGGGTTATTTAAAAAACAAACAAACAAACAAAGAAAATGGATGAGACCATCAAACACCTCATAAGTGCACATTGTTGGTTGTCACAGTGACCTATATATACTGAGTTGTCCCTCTGTCTGTCTCCCTTACATGGCTAGAAGTCCTCTGAGGGCAGGCACTGTTTGGTTTTTGAATCCCTAGAGTTGTACATGATGCTAGCACAGAACAGCACTTGGTTTTTCTTGAATGAGAGAATGGATGAATGAGTAAATAAAATAGAAATGTAGATGGCACTTCCCTCTGAGCTCAGAGATACTTGAAAGGCTATAAATCCAGTCAATGAGTGCTTTGAGTAGAAGCAGGTGACATATGAGCAAAGGACAGTCATAATCATCCTTTGAGAATGACAATTCACAGCAATCACTGCAGGCCTTGCCCTCTGGAGTACATCTTTTGGAGTACATATAGTACTCAGGAATTATTGTCGGGTATTGTGTACATTCAGTACTTACAACACACAGTGACCCTAAAGAACAGACTAGACCTACCCCAGAGGGTTTCCAAGGCTGTGATCTTTTTGAAAGCAGACTCCTCATCTTTCTCCCACAGAACAGGTGTGAACTACAGACCTTGTGGTTAGTAGCTTAGTGCCACCAGGGCTTCTATTGGTAGAGTGACATGCCAGACTGGAGGTGTGTGGCCACCCTGCCATGCCCAGCTTTGCCTTGCTCCCATTGTCACTAAGAAAGCCCAGAAGTCTGAGCTTTTGTATACGGAAGTGAACTGTAAATACTCTGGAATTCCATTGTGGTTACTGAGCATGTAATTGCGTGGTAATTACCATGAATTCACAAGATAATTCCAAGGTTATTTTTGTGTTCTAAACTTGTCTTATGCTGCCATAGTATATATAAACTAGAAAAACCAAGATCAGGCCCAAATCAGTGAGGGAGATAAGCAAGCATCAGTAGCAGCTCAATGCAACATTCCTTCACTCGAAAGCAAACAGAAGTGCTCATTGTCTAGTAGAGACAGTGATGATCCCTGGACAGCAAATACAGATAAGTGGTTCTGAGAGTTTGTCCTCTCTATGGAGCTCTGGTGGTATCTGTAGGTTAAGCATTGGGCTGCTAACCTCAAAGTTGGCAGTTCAAACCCACCAACCACTCGGCAGAAGAAAGCTGAAGCTGTCTGCTCCTGTAAAGATTTGTAGCCTTGGAAACTGTGGGGCTGTTCAGCTTTTGTAAAGACTTACAGCCTTGGAAGCCCTAAAGATCAGTTCTACTCTATCCTATGGGGTCACTCACTATGACTTGGAATCAACTCATTGGAAGTGGGCTTAGTTTTTTGGTATGGAGAAAGACTGCAATTCTTCCT